GGCCCGCCGGCGGGCTGCCGGCTTTTGTTTGAACACCTTCAAAGACAGTGACCTTCCTGTGGTGGGAAAGAGCCCCCAGGATTTGCTGGTTTGTTTATTCGTCTTTTGCATGTCTGTGAAATGCGGCTTCGGCTACTAAGTTAACAGTTCCTCTCCCTGAAAATTTCCATTGATACCACTTAAGTTTGGACCAAGAAGCCTACCAAATAAATAACCTTTCTACTCCATGTCAGTTTTTCAAGTATTTAAAAAAGTTGCCATGTCTCCGGGAACATTCTGTTCTCATTTCCTTTGGTCGACTGGTTAGACAGAGCTGCAGAGGATGCATTCTAATAACTAGAAAAAAGAAACCAGAGCAACATTCTCCTGCAGGTCACCATCTCCTGATATGAAACCCTTGGGCCCAGCTGTGTTTCAGAATGTTTTGGATTCTAGGAAGGTAAGACAATACACCTACGATTGTGTACCACACCCAGTGAGGGTCTAGGGCAGACTCTATATTCAAACACATTGATATTTCTGTAACAAACTATGCACCTTCACACCGAATGAGATAAAGACACACTAGTTTCATACCAATTCAAGTCAAGCCTTGTCACCAAATGCATTTGTTTGACAAACTTATAAATAACTTGGAACTTTCCCTACTTCTTAAGTTTCAGAATTGTGGATGAAGGATCATGAACCTGCACTGCTACTAGTATTATGCCCACTTCAGAGATGTGGAAATGGAGGCTCAGAAGTTATATATCTTGCTAAAAATTACTTGACTAATAAATAGCTGACCCAGAGTTAGAACCTAAACTTCGCTACTCCAAACAGCATGCATAAAGAAGGACATGTCTCCAGGCCATCACAGAAGAAGCCTCCTGCCTGTTCATGTTCTTTTTCCCCGTCTTCCAGGTCTGTTAACCGGACTGCTTTCTGCTGTAGCCAAATAGCTAATGTAGCTCTTACTTTTCACTTTCACTTTCGCTATCTGGAATCCTTGCTGCAGTTTTCAGGGTATGTCCAGGGCATGGGCAAGCTCTTGGGGGGAGTAGCCAAATGTGTACAGATCCTCTACTTAAGCAACTACAGAGAAGTAGTATCACCTAAAAGAATATGGCCTGAGCCAAGAATTGAGACCTGGACTCTAAACAAAGTGTTATTACTAAAGAGCTGAGACTCTTAGGCAAGGTACTTGACTTCTCTGTGCTTCTAATAATAACTATAACAGGTGAAATAATACCACCTGCCTAATCTGTTACATGTGACAAGAATGTAACAACATGAATTCATTGACTGCCAGCTGTGCTTTTCATGGAAATAAAGAGAGAGAAGTCCTAGCTGCAGCGCACTGTGTGAGTGCCCTGTGCATCGGTTACAGCGATGCTGGGAAGGCTGAGGAAGGGTCAACTCTTCTGGTCCAGGGAAGAAGGCAGGAGAATTAGGGAAGGTTTCACAGGAAAAGGAACACCTGACCTATAGGTCTTTCTTTCTATAAGTAATAAGTAAGTAGAATTCATCTAAGGAATGGACAAAGCTGAAAAACCGGTAGCGCTATGGAGAGAAGTAGAAGAGAAACCGAGAGACCTTGGCGCCAGGCAAGGCACGTAAAGAGAGAACTTCTGGGGAAAACTGTTCACTTTGTCAAGGGGCACATTGAGGTTCAACAGGGCCCAAAGGGTTCTCTCTGGTTTTGTCCATTGGGAGGGGTCAGACCTCTTAGCAATGACCTTTCAAAGCCACAGTGCCCTGGATTAGGGGCTGAATGGGAGGCCAGGAAGTGGAGACTGAAGCAGTTGGATCACCTTGGTGTGGGAGAGGGGAAGACAGGGCGAGAGCAATAGTAACATTGATAGTATTTTTAAAATAGAGAATAAACTTGAGCATATTTTTAGATTTTGGGGAGAGAGCAGGGATAAAAATTGACGGGGAGAAAAGATAATCCTGGAGTAGCTGAGGAAAGATGGATTAAGATCGAGATGGAAGGACAACTGGATCATCTGCTGCGGCAGGTGGCTTTAGCGGGTACATTTTTAGGCAGGGGCTTTCATTTGGGGCTGGTCATGTCTGACTTCTTGGTGAGGTGGGAGATACAATCTCTCCCTGTGCACGAAGGAACAAAGGGGTGTGAGGAGTGGGCATACAGTCTTGCTGGAAAACGGAAGAGGCTGAGCACAGTCAGAGGGCTGAAGGCAGTACGAGAGCGAAGCCTTATAAGAGGCTGGACTCCACAAATGGATGGGGGCACTGTACACTTATGTACTGTTAGGAGCTGTTATCCAGTGTCGCTTAGTGAAGGAGATTTCAGAAGTTCCAGAGTTGGGGCTGGGAGATTGAGATAGAGGCTAAGAGCACAGTTAGCAGGGAAGGGTGTCTGGCCCTTCTCTGAGGTTCACGGAGGTGGGATAGGATACAGTTTTCTTCTCAGACATTTCCATCTGTGTGAAACTTATATTAGTATAGTTTGTAAACATCAGGTTTGGGAATTAAACTTATTCAAAATCCCTGAGAAGGAAGATGTAACTCTTGGGCTCCCATCTGAGCATCTTTACTTGTAAAGAGGGAAGGGATAAGGCCACGGTTCCCACTAGGAAGCTGGTACTTTTGCCTGTTTTCCTTTGCAATGATACAGCTTGGGATATAGTTGTATAGGACTTTGTTGTTCATAAAAACTGTCCCATATTTATTTCCTGGACTATTTCATAGAAGAATCTGACACTGGACGTTAAATGGCCTTTCTGTGGCTGTGTGAGGGATGGAGCATTGATGAGGATCTCCTGCCCTTGGTCTGTCCCACGGGATTTCACAGGATGCGTCTGAAGTTACTTTTGTCTGTACACGAGCCTGTGAGCTTTGCCCCTTCTTTCAAAACATAGGTCATACCCCTTGGAGGTTTACCTCAGTAGCTTCTGAGTGTCGGAGAGTCCATAAAAACTCCAACATAGCCATAAAAATGGCCACGATTAAGCCACAAATTAGAACCACAAAGATTCCACCAATATTCTCCATTCCTAGGCCTGTAAGAAAGAGATAATAGGAAACAGTGTAAACGAGCTGGAGGCCCAGTCATTCCACCCAAACACACACACTCCTCGGGAGTTACAGCCATTCTTCTGGGGAAATGCAGCAGGAGTCAAAAGGGGGAAAGACCTAGTTGCAAATGGAGGAGACTGGAGAAGAGATTCCAAAAGGGTCTCTGAGACTGGGAGGTGGAGTCATTTTAAGAAAAAAGCTCAAGAAAATTTGATTTAGCCTGTGATATCAAAATACCTGTGCATTCTAGTATTTGCATTAAAAAAATGTAGGCAATCTTACTCATGTGTTTGTGTGATATAGAGTAAGTGTTTTAACCAAACTATAGTTAGAAAAAAAATATATGTTTACTAAAATACTAATTTGGAAAAGAAAACTTTTTATCTTATCAGACCAGTGGTTCCCAAACTTACCTACCCGAAGAACCTCCTGAGAAGCTTGGTAAGATATTGTTTCCTAGTTGTTCCCCCAGACCTATTGAACCCACATCCCTGGAGATTGAGCCTAGGAATCTGTATTTTAAAACATATTAAATAGGTAACTTTTTTCCAGCCAGGCCCAAAATTAGTTTTCAAATTGGCATTGTTAGAAGCTGTACATGACTGTAAGTTCCTTGAAGCCAGGCACAGTTTCTGGTTGGACCCTCATCTAGCATGATACCTGACATATAGTATACACTCAATAAATATCTGTAGAATTATACAGCTGTTTCATTTTCACAGTGTCAAACATTGAGTGTAGCTATGTAACTGGATGCTGTTTTGGTATTAAAGAAACCCAACAAAAAGCATCTTTCATCCAGAAAAATGCCAAGAGGGTGGCTGCTGTCCTGTGCTGCTCCAGATGCTTACACATTTGCGTGCTCAGCCCGTAGTGTCCTCACAGGACACAGAGCTGCAGGGAGAGCCAGCTCCTCACAGCACTAGGGATGAGACCTGGTTCTGGAGCGGAGATCTGACACTACTCTCTGCACCTTGGAAAGCTGGAAAAAGAGCCCTACATAGCCGTATCAAGATGCCCTGGGTTTCCTCTCACAAAGCCTCAAGTGGGTGTCTGCGGTTTGTTTGCTTTGGTTGTAAAATATCATAGAGCGTTGCAGTGCCTGCTACACTACTAATGTGCTGCCACAGTAAGGGTGTTGAATGCACTGTATGCTCTGCTCGTCAAGTGCACAGTCAGCTCTGGACGGCGTATGTGAAGCAGGTCCTCTCTTTTGCATAATCACAGATGCGATTATTTGAAAACTCAATTCTAAGGGAAGGCAGAGAGGATATGAAGTAGATTTCTACCTTTGAGAAGAAAGGTACTTGGAGTTTATTTGAACAGCTGCACATCTAACCTAGGACCATTAGGGCGGAAGGTTTTTGACCATAGAAACATCAGGATCCATGGGTGAGTGGGGACACGAGAGAAGGCACCAAGGGCCTGGCTCGGGCGGGCGGGCAGTGCTCCAGCCACAGGGTTAAGGGTGAGAACTGAGGTGCTGGGATGTGCACCTGAGTGTCACGGACAAACTGGTTTTCTCCAGCGGACCCCTGTGGAGAAAGGCTAGAGGAATGTTACTGGTGATGGCTTCGCGACCAAGGATGCCCACCTGTTCAGGTAAATAGTTCTCCAGTGGCTGCGGAGGTACTTTCTGTATGCCTCTCCTACCACTTTGGGATAGTATTGCCCTATCTAGAAATAAAGGCTAGGGTCCCCTCCAAGGGCCTCCAGCTCCCCTGTGCTCTGCAGGGGTGGGCCCTGCTGTCTCCAGTACAGCTCTGCTGTGTGGCGCTAGCTGCTTCCCGCCTCCCCTACTCACCCGGCCTCCTCAGCCTTGTCCTCCCCACTGCTCCTTCCCTCAGTGCAGACACACACTCACGTTTCTCCTCAGAGAAAAGTAAAAAATCCTTCTTTGCCCTCCAGCTCTGTCTAGTAAGACCCTTTCTCTTTCCCTTCTTCCCTGGACAAGCTTTTTGAAATAGTTATTTATATCAGACTTTTTAAAGACATTTTGAAGCCCATAAAATGCTTACAATTGGAGACCCCATTTCACATAAAAGCAAGTAGAAGAAAATGCACCCATATCTTACGTTAAATGCATTTTAAAAATTTTTCCTTCTGAAATGACTGGATGTCACTAAAAAGGTTAATTTTATAATTGGCTGTGATTTCTCAGCAATCGTACAAAATGAAAAAATATAACAAAAAATTGTTTCTATATGTAATGAAGTTTTTATGAATATTAAATTTAAAAATTAATAAAGTCAAAACAATGTCACATTTTGGAGGTATTTAATTTCATTTTGGAATTTTTTTTTTTTGCATTTTGAAACTAGTAATTTTCTTCAGGCCTCAAACATAATTTTAGATGCTGGAGAAAACGTTTGGGCCCTAGGGAAGCTTGTCTGTGGATCTGAACGTGTTCCGAGTTCACTTTTGTCGTCCTGGACACCCCTCAACCCATGCAACCGTGTCTTGCAATCAAACCACCCTCGCCAAATTTACCAGTGAACATTTTATTTCTAAGTTGTTGGAAAATGTCTAGTCCTAATCTTTGCGACCTCTTGTAGCACTTGACATTAATAATCACACCCCTTCTCGGCTTTTAATGAACCAGTGCTCTCCGCCGTCTCACCTTGACTTGCTGCGGCCCTTCCTCCCCCTGCTCTGCATTTGGTCCTTGCCTCTTCTTCATGCACTAGGCTATTACCAAATCCTGCCGGTTTTATCTCTGAAACACCTTTCAATTTCTTATCCTCTCTATCTCTCCTACACTTCCCTAGTTCAGCCCCCACCGTCTCTCGCTTGGACAAAATGATTTCCCTGCTCGTAGCCGTGCCCTCCCCAGCTCTGGCCCCACAGCTGCCCGGGTCCTCCTGAAAAGCAGAGCCTGCCTGTGACACGCGCTCTGGTGGCACAGAGCTGCGGCGAGATGCCCGCATACTGCAGTGTGGCTCTGCGGCGCCTCTGCCCTCCCTGCTCCGCGCTCCCCGCGCCCCGCGCCCCGCCTGGCCAACACCAGCCGCTCCTTTAAGATTTAGCTCAGGGGTCACTGTCTCCAGGCCGTGCTTTCTGCTGTTACCTGACTGTCAGGCGCATGCTTTGCGTCTGACATGCTGCGCCCTGCGCCACTCTGCTGTCGCGGGGCAGGGCCCGAGTTCAGTTACGCGCGTCTGGACTTTCCCTCAGACCGCGCTCCGCGAGGGAAGGCCCATGTCTTGCTCAGCTCTGCGACTCCGCAGCCACGGTGGCGGGAGCCCAGTAAGTGTTTGTTGAAAGGATGAGCAGAAAGACAGAGGATAAAGACATCCCGGATGCGGAAACCTGAATTATCACGGGCGTGAGGGACGGGGAGGGTTATAAGCAGGCAGGTTATCTGTGCTGGGATAATTTTGATTAGACCAGGGGACACTTCTCGGAGGACCTGAGCTTTTAACAGGATGCTGGTGGAAACTGTGAGTCACTGAAACACCCACAGTCTTTCCTTCCCAGCTTCTCACGGTTCAGGGCCAGCACGTCAGTCATGGGCACTGGCTGCAGTGTGATTCTTGGCTGAGTGGTCTCCTCCCCCTGTAGTGAGCCTTGTAGGCCGTTCACGGCTTTAGGAATGTATTGGAAAGTAGAAGAAAGAACAGATTGCCGGCAGAGTCAGATTTGAGAAATGGAGCGGGGAGCGGGAAGCAAGTGTTAAGAGAGTGCAGCACTTCTATTTCACACTGTCATCACTCACTCCCCAGAAGTCAGAATGCCTCCCACAGCACCCAGCCACAGCTCAGATGAGCCTCTGATGGGACTCCTTCCGGCCTGACCACAGACCCTCACGGCACTCACAGATGCACCTGTAAGGGGAGCCATCTAATCACCCCCTCCCTTCCTTTATTCAGATGGGAGCACACAGAAGCCATCTAAACAGATGGTTCTCAAGCTGAGATTTTCTCCTGACTCTTAAGCCTCTGAGCCTCAGCTGTGCCCCAGCAGTAAGCTCATATTAAGTGAAACAGAATCAGACTCTCCCCGCAAACTCATGGTTGGTTAAATACTGACTTTGGTGTCACAATACATACAAATGAATAAATTTGTCTCTAAAACTGCAGAGTGGAATGGCAGCCTGGAAGGGAGTACCTCTGAGTAGATTGGGCTCTCCACCCGCCCACCACCTACCCTGCCTTCAGCGCTGACTGGTGAATAATCACTTCTTGGATTCAGGTGCATGTGTGTCTCATCCTAAAAATCCTTGCGTATCTGCAGGTAGCACTACAGAAATGTGTGACTGAGATGCAGGGAAGTTATTTTTGAAAAAGAAATAGCTGTACCTGGGAGGCAGAGAAACAGAGAGAGGCCACACGAGCCACTGAGGCAGGTGCAGAGACTGGAGAGACAGTCTCACCAAGGGACAGCATATTTGTTCTCTGACATTGGGCAACAAATATTTTTTGAGGAGCTTCCAGGAGCTGAACACTATGCGAGATGCTGAAGCTCTGTGCAATGTTCCCCATGGAAAACATTTGGTTGGAACATGAATTTTTTGACCAATATGACTTCCAAGTACTTTCTGTTTCAGAATCACATTCCCCTATATCCATGCAAACATGTGAAATGGCCCCATCTTCACAGAATTATTTGTTGTAAATAGCAACTTCATATGCCCATGTGTGAGCTGGCCCAGAACATATGCTGAGGACTGTACAATGGTATGCTGGCCGTTTCTTCTTACATTCACTGTGACATCTGTTGACTAGACCTAGCAGCTTATGGAAATAGTGCTGGAGAAAGTGGGGAAAGGGACATGAAATAGAAAACGGATGGGAAAGTCATTGATAAATTTTGCAGTTTATCAAATCACAAATTATGGGAGAGGCACTTTACAATTTATCAAAACCTGAGCTCAAGCACTTCATTTCATTTTAAAAACAGTTCTTACCTCATTCAATTATCATTAAAAACACTGTAAAGAAGGCCCACTGCCCAAATTTTACAGTTAAAGAAATGGAAATTCAGG